CAATCAGCTCTCATAAGCATAATGAACTGACTCTAGCCTACTACTGCACAGCTGCCAAATCAGAAGTGGGATTTGAATCCAGGTCTTCCTGGTTCTGGACAGATCACTGAACCTCTCTGGTCTCACTTTCCTCATCTTTAAAATGGAGGGGTGGGGTTGCACTCAATGAATTCTAAGGTGCTTTCTAGCTCTAACGCCTATGACGCCAAGTTCATCCCTGTGGTTACTATGCCAAATGGTTGAAACTTTTTTTTTTTGGATACAATATACCTTGCCCATGAGAGATACTCAAGAAACATCTGTTGATTTAAAGATGTTTTATGGAGAAAGTCATACTATGGAACTATCATGATTTACTAATGGAGCCCAATATAAGTGTGTGTATGTATATATGTATATATATGTGTATATATATATATGTATGTATGAATGCATGTATACACATATAGATATACTCATACACATGTTTATATTATATAGGTGCACATGTATATATACACATGTATGTATATATGTATGTCACACACACTTTTTAAATAAAAGAGGAAGGTTTCAGTATGGATCCATGTTTGGCAATAGCTACAAAGGACTTTATTTGCACGTATATACCTATACTAAGCCAAGTGGTGAGATATTTATTTCTTTTTAATACCTTTGGGAATCCTTACTCCTAGGGATTCAAAGCATCATGTCCCACCTTTCTGCTTTACAGAATTCTTCTGACGTCAGGTTAGATTTCTCCCAGCAGATGTCATGTGGCATCTGCAATGGGAGCCCCATGACTATGGAAAAGAAGTGGGTGTGGGCAGCAGTGTCAAGCTGCAGAAGTCCGCTCTGCTTTTCACATAGTAGGTGCTTTATGTATGTATGCTGAATGGAAGTATTGGCCACTGAAGTCTCCTTCTGTTGTCTCATGGTGGTGTGGAGGAGCATAGATGTGTGCCCGGAAGGCACCCTAGACATTGTAGGATGAAGAATTTAGAGTTGGAAGGGATCTCCAAGATGATAAAGTCCCAGATTCAAGATGGAAGGCACCTGGGAGGTCAAAGGACCAAGAAGGACCTTTAGAGCTGTAGGGTCATAGATCTGGAGCTTGGAAAGGATTTTAGAGGTTTGTAGTCCACCCTTCTTGTACAGGTAAGGACCTGGGGCTGGAGAGGTCAGGGCTCTTGCCCAAGACCACATGTAGTAAGTAAAACCTATATTGGGGGCCAGGCAATAGAGTCATCGGTCATAGACTTAGAGCCAGAGCAAACTTCAGAGCCCACCTAGTCCAACCTCCTTATTTTACATATAAGGAAACTGAGGCTGAAAGACTTGCCCAGTCACAGCTAGCAGGTATCTGAGGCAGGATTTGAAGCCAAGATAAGTCCAGGTCCAGTCTCCTTCCTACTGTGCTACCTAACTGCCTCATCCTCAGTCCTCTGACTTTAAATCAATTACTATTTCCATGGAACTATGCTGCCTTTCGAACTCTGTTTTACAGGAAAGGAAACTGAGTCTTATCCCAGGTCCCCTGACTTTAAATCTATTTATCTTTCCATAGAATTATGCTGCCTTCCCAACCCCATTTTACAAGGAAGGAAATTGAGCCTTATCCTAGGTCCCCTGACTTTAAATCTATCTTTCCACAGAACTATGCTGCCTCCCCAACTCCATTTTACAGGGAGGGAAACTGAGTCTTAGAAAGGTAAAGTGACTTATAGCAAACAGCAAAGCTAGAATTCTATCCCGGGTCTTCTGGATCCAAATACAGTCCTTCAATTGCCTGCTGACACTGAGTGGTGTCAGTTGTTCTGTAAGGGTCCCCTTTCACTTTGTGCTGAAGAATAAAGACAAAAAAAGAATAATAAATAACAAAGTTTGTCTCTTCCTAGACTGAACAGGAACAGTGTTCACTCCTTGGATATCTTAGAACAGTGCAGGCAAACTGCTTAGATCTCTTCAATGAGATCTATTTATTTACTAGGGGCAAAGGAAGTAGAATTCCCTCTGTGTGGCATCAACTCTCTCTCCCTCTCTCTCTCTCTCTCTCTCTCTCTCTCTCTCTCTCTCTCTCTCTCTCCCTGTCTCTGTCTCTTATTCTCTCAAGGATATTGCACTGATCCAAATATCAAGGGCTCAAACATGCCTTCTGTAGTTCTTAAAAAAAATCCAGCACCTGAATCAACAATCCTTGCCTGACCTTTAAAACATCAGCCAATATGGGGAGGGGGAATGAGCTTAATTAGAAGACATGGAAAAACTACCTTGGAGACTGGATTGGGGAAAGGGATGGAACTAGAGGATATTCTGGGAATGGGCATTTGGCAGTTTGAGCACTGAGCCCCTTGTTTCTTCCCTCTCCTTCTGAAATTTGCCTTCCAGTCTTTCCCTAGTGGTTGGCACCTCCTGAAGCTTTAAGAAGCTCTGGCCAAAGTAGCTGGGGTTCCTTTGTCTAAACCTGTCTCTCTAACTGACATCCATTGCACCAAGTTCTTCTCTCCATGGTCTAGCAGCACAAATCTAGTTCTGATATCAAATGACAAACCTTCAAATACTTCGTGCAGTTATCATTTCTTCCTTTCACCCCTCATCCAACTCTTCTATATCCACATTAAATATCCCTAGTTCCTTTCAATTGATTTTTATATGACATGATCTCAAAGCCCTCTACCATTCTGGTTGTTTTCCTCTGCATGCTCTAAGGTTTATCAATTGTTATTGTTATGAGTCATTTCAGTCATTTGGGGTTTTCTTGGTAAAGATACTGGAGCGGTTTGCATTTCCTTCTCCAGCTCATTTTACAGATGAGGAAACTGAGGCAAAAGGGGTTAAGTGACTTGCCCAGGTTCACACGGCTAGTAAGTGTCAGAGGCCAGATTTGAACTCATGAAGATGAATCTTCCTGACTCTGGGCCCACATCCTGTGCACTATAGCGCCACCTAGCTGCCCCAGTTTATCAACAACCTTCTTAAAATGTGCCAGACGCAGCATGGTGTAGTGGATAGAGAGCTGATCTGGAAGGCTGAAAGACCTGAGTTCAAGTCCCACCTCTGACACATATATGTGTCGAAAATTCCTTCACCTCTTAGTATTCAGGCAAGATTCCAATGCTCCAAGTGGCGGAGAATTTGTTTACTTGCATTGTTAGAGGTAGCTTCCTCATATCCAGGTAGCTTTCTTATATCAGTGAAATCACAGGGCTGGTCCCTATCTCTGCCCATCTTAAAATGTGGTGCCCAGGTTCGTTTGTTAAAGACCAGCATTCAGTGTGGGCTGAGGGGAATTGGATCTTGGATATAGTTCCAGGGGATTTAGTTAATGAAATAGAACAAACATAAAATACCAGCTTCGATCTGAACAATGCTTTACAGTTGACAAAGCATTTTCAGGAACATTGGCTCATTATCTCTGAGTTTCAGATGCTAGTTCAGCCACTTACTACCTGGGTGCCCTTGGGGGGCTCACCTGATCTCTCGAGATTTGAGTTTCCTCATCTGTAATGTGAGACAGTTGGACCAGATGATCCTAAGGGCCCTTTCCAGCTTGGTGTCTACAACGCCTTAAATGTCCTTCTTAGGCAGAAGGTCACGTGCTTCCACCATACACTGCCCTTAATGCATGAGGTGGGAGAGAGAAAGAGGGAGAAATTCTCTCTCTATTCACTTCTCTCCTGTCTGCTTATTCCACCAGAAATGCACAAGGAAAAAGGTATACGTGTATGTGTGTATGTGTGTGTATATATAAGAAATTTAGAAAAATAAAATATATACATCTAAAATAATATATAAACGTGTTAAACTTGTAAACATATATTAAAATATATAATATATTTTATAAAAATATCAAAATGTAACAAAATATACACACACACACATATATATATATAAATATATCAAAATATACACATGTAAATGTGGATACATATACATGCCACTGGAACTGCTCAATAAATAGATGGATAGATGTTGTTGGCTCACTCACAAGAACCTATCTTCCCTAGTGTTTTAGTCAACCAATTGACTTTGGTGTATCTCTGTTGTTATTCAGTCATTTCGGTTATGTCTAACTCTTAATGACCCCGTTTGGGGTTTTCTTGGCAGAGACACTGCAGTGGTTTGCCATTTCCTTCTCTGGTTCATTTTACAGATGAGGAAACTGAGGCAAACAGAGTTAAGCGACTTACTCAGGGCCACACAGCTAAGTATCTAAGTAAGTATCTGAGGCCAGATTTGAACTCAGGAAGTGAGTCTTCCTGACTCCAGGCTAGGCGTTCTGCACACTATGACGCCACCCAGCTGCCTCAGTAGCTCTGGTCACTGTGAATCAATTAGAGATCGTCTTTGAGGCATGCAGGTCATGCAGTAGCTAGATTGCTGGACCTGAAGCCAGGAAGACCAGAGTTCAAATCCTGCCTCAGAATTCTACTGACTTTGTGACCCTGGAGAAGCCACTTGACCCTAGTTTCCTCATCTGTGAAATAAAGCTGATAACAATAGCACTTATCTCACAGGATTGCTTTGAGGATCAAATGAAATAACCTTTGCAAGTGCTTTGCAATATAAACGCTACTTGTCCTCTTCACATATCTTAAAGGAAGGTCCATCGTTTGGACTCCAAGACCGCACATAAGGCACTACTCTCCCCCTGATCACTTACCCTAATTGCAGTCAGAGTTCCTAGGAAGAAGGAAATGAATGAAAAAGGTCTCCTGAGTGCAAACCCAGACCTCTCAAGAGACTGAGCCATCTTGTATTTTATAGCTATTCCCCATTACTGCAGATAATTGAGATTTATCACTGACAGCTTAAAATGTGTAACCTCCCCTCCATCACTGCCACAGAGAATCTAACAGCACTCAGAGCTAACAAGGCATAGCCTCAATGACTCTCCAAGCGTTCAGATCGGCTACAACGCTTTTTGGATCCCTTCTCACTCGGTGGTGAGCATAAAGACAAAGAAACGGCCATGACCAGCTTGTCCACTCTTACTAACTCTAAGGCATTTTGTTTTCCAGGCATCCATCTCCTGGGTTACCACATGACTACCTCGTCTGGAAGCCTACCCAACCGGCAGGATGCTAACTTATTTCCATACATTTTAAGAGAGTCCATGATCAAATGTCACAAATATATTAAAATGAACAATATACCTCACCAATAGTTTCCCCAGTTCCACTCTCCAGAGAGCCAATTTTGTACCTGCGTCACATAGCACATCCTCATAGATTCCACCTCCTCATGCTGTCGTAATCAGGATGAACATAATAAACTAATATTTATAGCTGAAACAACATCAATAATCTTATTTTATCCCTACAATACTTCAGTCAGATAGATAAGGGTGGGTGGTATCATTGTTAACACAATAGGAAGGTTAATATGGCAGGGACATACTACTAAAAGGAAAATACCAGTTAAAACAGAATTTGATTTGCCCAGTGTTTCTGCTCCAGGCTGTACTGGACAGACTATTTTCATGGGGGAAAAAAGGAGAGGAAAGGAATAAGAATTTATTAAGCACGTACAATGTGCCAGGACCTGTGCTAAGCAGTTTGGAAATATTATCTCATCGATGGAAGGAAGGAATGTGAATGTTGCTGGTGTAAGACTTTAGATCAGCCAACATAATTCTCTTGCAAAGGGTCTGGATGTAAGAAATGAGGGAGAGGATGAGCCAAGCAGAGTTCTCAGGTGTGTCTAAGTAGTGCAGTGACATTGATCTGGTTTCTTGGGCCTGTTCCTTTTTTCTATATCAGTGGCTAGGGGACTTTTGGGATCCGTGTTTCCTGGGCATTTTGTCAGTCTGTGGAGATGTTCCCCAAGAGCCAGGTACACTCTAAACCCCAGGGAATAATCTGTGATGATACATAGCCCAGATAGAGCAAGCAGTTATGTTCCCAGATGAAGTGGTCTGAGACCATTCCCCTGTTCTTAGTAAATTGACCATCACGGAGCTGGGCACAAGCCAGTTACATTGGCCCTGCAGAACCCATCTATACCTTTGAAAGGCCATTCCCTTAGACAAGGAAGCTTTGTCCTTTAAAATTTAGTCCTGTATTTTTGCAACGGATCAGGAGCAGGTGGCATATATTAATGACAGAATAGGGGAATGAGGAAAAAATGACTGCGTGCTACTGGGCTGTTGGTGGTGGTAGCGGTCCTTTGTTTTCGAAGCGACCTATGACATCATGGGGTGATGTCTTGACTTGCATGTGAATTGGACTTAAGTGAGTCAGAGCTGCATAAAGTCATCAGCCTCACTCCTCCAGCGTCATCGAAGTCCAGTGGCAAGACAAAAGTCAAGGTGACTGGTGATGGCCTGGGATGCAGTGGGTGACTTTGGCCTTTCTCAATTAAGGTCTTCCCCAGGTCTGTTGCCTGGGCAACATTCATGCAGTGACTAAGGACTAGGTAAGATTGAGATGAAAAATGGTCTAATTTACCATCACGAAAATATCAATCTGGAGGGAGAAGACCGTCAAAGTTTCTGGCCAGAACAGAAAACAATTGCTATTCACACTCATTCTAAACCATCAAAAGCTAAACAATGAGTGAGTCTGATAGAGGAAAAGAACAACCCCTTTCCCCTCCTTTTGTAGGAAAATATTGGGCTTCAAATCAAAGTTTCTGATGGTCTTTGGATACCTCAAAGGAGGTGAGACAAGGTGAATGACTGTAGTGTAGGGAATGTAATAGGGATGAAGGGTATTAATTGTTTAAATGAATGTACTGATTTAAAAAAATTACAGGATTTCAATATTAATCCTCTAAAATCCATTTTCACAAGAATGCTTCAGGACCTCAAATTCATGTCCAAGTGTGTGAAAAAAAAAAACTCTCCAAAACAAGTTAAGAGTGAAGAGCTTCCACCCAATGGGTTACCACTTACAGGCCAATGGCTCCACAGCACGAATCAGGAGACAGAACAGCTCTATGTTTTTAATGGAACACGTTTGCAACAACCTCGAGCTTGGTGCTACTCGTGGCAAAGTATGCTGAGACAACAATGATACTCTCAGCTTAGGGAGAGTGATGTGCATGACGTACTCTGCCCAGTTCAGGTGGCCCCTGGTTATATTCTGAAACTTTGGCTTATCAGAGATCAGGTAACTGCTTGGCAGCATATGAAACACACCTGTCCCCTGGAATACTGACCACCTGGCACATTCTGTATGATCACAAAGCCGGGAAAATGGTAAAGAAGAAAGGTCCCTTTCCTAGGGCTTGCGCAACTAAGCTGGGGTCACCCAGTCTTCTCATACAAGAGTCATCATAAGGCTGAAATCAGAGGTGCTGAAGACAATCTGAAAATATCAAGTATCTCAATTAAATAATTTATGAAATTAGATTACCTAGATTCTAGAAAGGCTCGTATCGTATATCTCCTACCTTAAGCTAAGCCTGTCCCTCAGGATTTGTGTGGGGATGAACAGTGTGCCTTTATGTAAGATTGTAATTATGGCCCAGGACATCTTAGAGTGTATACAAAGTTGGAGGTACTAGTATTACTCAATCGATTGGATGGGAATGTGGCCCCAAGGACCCCAATTGGGACTGGGCGAAGATCATTCAAATACTTATTCTTTTTTTTTTTTTTTTTGCAGTTGGGGTTAAGTGACTTGCCCAGGGTCACACAGCTAGTATGTGTCAAGTGTTTGGTCTGAGGCTGGATTTGAACTCAGGTCCTCCCGACTTTAGGGCTCTATCTACTGTGCCACCTAGCTGCCCCACAAATGCTTATTCTTATCAAATAAGCAGCTGGGTAGTGTTTTGGATAGAATGCTGGCCCTGGAATCATATTCACTAGCTATGTAACACTGGGTAAGTCAAATAATCTGTCTGCCTCAGTTTCTTCATTTGTAAAATAGGGATAATAGCCCTTGTCTCCCAGGATTGTTGTGCAGGTCAGATGAGACAAAATTTATAAAGTGCTTTGTAAACCTTAAAGTGCTATAAATGCTATTGTTATTGTTGTTGTTGTTGTTATTATGTGCTATGCAAAGGCTGGCCCCCATTAGCAGAAATAGCTGGAAATGGTGGCTGCCTCTCTCTCCCACTGCCACCTCTACAAGCAATAGGGGACAGAGGAAGGGAAACATAGGAAGGAGATCCTGTTGGACCATTAGGTGAAACAATGAAGTCGGACAGCAGGACAACACCAGGGGTAGGACACTAGGTTAAAACAACTGCATTTCCACGCTGGGATGCATTAAGGAAGAGAAGGAATCACATGTGAACTTTACCACAGTGTGAAGTGAGACCAACAAGCAATTCTGCTATTGTTGTTATTAGATCGGACACAGGGACTAAGGATGGAGACGAGCCAGGCAGGAATCCTAGCCTTGGCTTAGAAGAAGAGTGGGGAGGTCGGGGTTCTTGCTCATGCTGGTTGGGATGCAGGTATGGCATCTAGATTCCTGAGTGTCTTAGCCATCTTTGGCCATGCCATTTTGCCACTCTGGAAACTGGGCATATTGCCTCAGGGAAGGATCTGTTATAATCCATGCCTTGGGGTCATCTAACAGCTCCAGGACCATGGAAATTGCTCCATGAGGAGTCAGGTATGTTGTCATCCCCACAAGAGCTTCACGAGCAGTATTATATCTTTTACTTAGGAATGTACTTTTCCATTCTTTAGTCACACTCTTTCTACAATCTGATTTCAATATGGACTGACCTCTGTCACATATTAGCTTTTTACCTTGGACAAATCTCTTAGAGTCTCTGAGGCTCGGTTTTCCTACCAGTGAAAACCAAGGGAGATGGGGGAGATAATCTCCTTTAAGTAGTTGGGTGGTATAGTGGAATCAGGAAGACCTGCCTTGAAATCCTACCTCAGACGCTTAGCTGAGGGACCCTGGATAAGTCACTTAACCTCCTGTGCTTCAGTTTCCTCATCTGTTAAAATGAGAGAAGGGGTGGATCTGATGGCCCTCGATGGTCACTTTCAGGGCTAAATCTATGATCCCATGATCTCTCAGGGAGCCCTTACATCTCTAACATTGTATGAATCCCATCATTCAGTGGGTCAGGCTTAGGCAAGCAAGTCACTTAATTGCTCTGGTCCTCAGTTTCCTCATCTGCAAAATGTGTGTGAGAGTTTTGGATGCATGTCTCCCAACAACACTTTCATCCCTGATTCTGTCATTCTTGGATTAATATTTATAAACTGTTTCACTAACTCCCTTATGAGTCCCAGTAATTCTCCAAATGAAAAGCAAAAATGATAAGCCTTGTCTTAGTCTTTCCCCTAGCCAATATACAGAATTATCTGCAAATCATCTTATTATTTTTCAGTGTTCTATATAAGTTGTCATTATTATTTTTAGTAATACATTTGAGATTGGCATATAAATTAGTGTTTAATTGAATGCCTAGGGCCCTACCAGAATCAGAGAGCATTCCGGTGCCTAACTCTGCCTTTCCTTTTCATTACCATTTTCAGGTGCTCATGAGAATTAGTATTTGCAGGGAACAGAGTTTATTTGCTTCTAGCAGATGCTTATATTTGATTAGAGTAGTGACACGTGCAGCAGGAAGAGGGATAAGACAAGGCGATGATGGCCGTGGGTGCACTGGGTAAATAGCACATTTTATTCACTTGGTTTGGTCTATTTAACCGAAATACATTGTGTTTACCCAGTGTCTCTGTCTGGGCTTATATGACTGCAGTAGTGCTGAACATGACTGAAATGGTCCATCAGCCCAGGCTAACAGATAATAGCTTCTGGGAGGTGGGAAGGAGGTGAAGGGAGGACTGACTGAAGAGCACCAGCTTGTTTTACAATGCCATCTCACCCAATCACAGCCCATCAGATCTCCTGTTGACATCTCATTGTGTAGGGGCTGGGGAAAGCAGCCTGTCCCCTCTCTTTCCGTATCAGCATGTTATGAACGGGGTATAAATAAAAATTAGAATTCAATTCTGAATGAAAATGAGGAGCTCACTATTCAAGGAAACACTATGAAGAATTCTTTTTGGAAGCAAATAATATGCAAATAACTATTTAATCCCTAATGTAATGTAATGTCTTCTAAATTCAAGTCAATAAGCATTCATTCAGTGCCTGCTGTGTGCTTGACACAGTGCTAAGGGCTGAGGGTATAAAGAAAGATAAAAGGAGCTCCCAGGCTAATGGGGAAGACAAAATGGAAACAACTATTTGCAAACAAGATAATAGACAGGCAAAATCAGATCTAATTTCTGAGGGAAGGTACTGAGATTGTGGAGGACTGGAAGCAGTTCCTGGC